AGGTCAGCTGTCTCTGTGGTTTTCCCCATCATGATCTTGACCTTCCCTTGCTCATATGATTCCCTCCTCCCTCTCTTCAACCGACCTCCAGGAGCTCGGCCCAGGGTTGGCTGTGAGTCACTGCATCTGCTTCTGTCAGCTACTGGATGTAGGTTCTATGATGACAGTTAGAGAAGTCACTAATCAGCTTGAAGGAGAAGGCCCTTTCAGACGCCCTCTCCACAGGGAGAGGTTAGGAGTCTTAGCTTGTGGAACCCTGAAAATTCCTCTAACACAGGGTTTCTCCCTAACCCCATAATGGCTCCCTCTGCCAAGACATCTCTCTCATTGCTCCCCCTCCTGCCCCTCCCCCAACCCAGTCTTCCTGATCCCTCATGTCCCCATTCCCTCCCTTCTACCCCCTTCCCCCCAGTTTATTCAGGAGATCTTAACTATTTTCCCTTCCTAGGGCCCTCCATGTGTGTTCTTCCTGGGATCTCCTCTTTTACCCATTCTCTGGGGTTATGGCTTGTAGCCTGGTTATCCTTTGTTTTACATCTAATATTTGGAGTGAGTACATACCATGTTTGTCTTTCTGGGTCTGGGTTACCTCACTCAGGATGTTTCTTTCTAATTCTACCCATATGCCTGCAAATTTCAAGATTTCATTGATTTGTTTTTTTACTGCTAAGTAAAACTCCATTGTGTACTGTACTACATTTTCTTTATCTATTCTTAGGTTGAGGGGCATCTAGGTTGTTTCCAGGTTCTGGCTATTATAAATAATACTTCTATGAACATAGTTGAGCAAATGTCCTTGTGGTATGAGTATGCATCCTTTGGGCATATGCCCGAGAGGTCTTGAGCGAGATTGAGTCCCAATTTCCTGAGAAACTGCCGTAATGATTTCCAAAGTGACTGTACAAGCTTGCACTCCCACAGCAGGGGAGGAGTGTTCCCCTTTCTCATTTCACTTCTTGATAGCACACAGTCTATTTACACTCTCTAATTCATTGCCGGGTAAGGAAGAACGGAGAGGAAAAGGAATTATGGATCAGTTTATTCTCCTTCCTCTTTCCATATTGTAGTTTTCAAGTTAAGTGGCTGTCCAACTCATGTTAGGGCTCCTTGGTGTTCATTTTTCTTGATGCTGTTTCTTTCCTTCTGGAGAACAGAAGGAAGCTCTAAAGTGGAATGCGGTTGTTGAATGAGGAAGTTCCTTGTAGGCTCAAGCGTTTGAACAGCTGCTGCCTAGCTGATGGCTGTTTGGGGAAATTTCAGAGGCACAACCCTACTAGAGGAAATGAAGTAGGATACGGTAACAAAGACCAATTGTTAGACACCGATTTGTTGACTTATTAGTGATCTATTTAGAATACCGCTTTCAGTATCTGTGTGCCAAATATGACTTCACTTGCTACCTGAAAGACCTGGAGAAACGGCTGAAACAATGGATGGTTGTCTCTAACAATCTGCTGACTGCCACGTGTGCTTCCGTAAAATCTCGCTTGCTTGCCCATTCCACTTAGGGGTTTTACTGTGATAAAAACTGGACCCAGGACTGCCAGGATCTAGGCTGGCTTCCATCCATAGGTGGCTTTTCTCTTCCACTCTACTATGTCAGATTGTCATTACAGAAAGATTTCCAAAACATTCCAGAGGCCTTGGTGAGATCTCCTTCACCAGGAAACACCCCCCCCTTTGTCACGAGGGGCAGCTGCTCTGGGTCCTGTCAGTGCCCGCCCGAAAGGTCTCTGGAACCAAGAAGTGCCTTCTGATGGGACTGCAGGGTCCTCTTCCAGTGGCCAATGGGACTGAGAGACTTTGTGCAAGAAGACAATGCCAGGTAAGGACCCCTGGGAGATAGGCAGGAAGAGGCAGGTGACTTTGTCACCCCACAGGAGAGTGCATCAGAGCCTGGCAGGGCAACCAAAGATTGTGTTGGTCTCCAAGGAAAAGGCAGGTTGGTCTCCCGGGAAGTAGACTAGGAATATAAAATGGAAATGTATAACGTTTGAATGAATGGTGAATGAATGCTCAGCAATTCAAATTATCCTCCCCTCCAACAATTCAGAGTGCCATGAATCCCTGGCGTTCAGGAGATTGGGTTTGGATAAAAGTCCCAGCACAGGAAAGTCTAGTCCTCAAATTGGAAAGGGCCTAATCAGGTTATCCTCAGTCCTTCTTTGTTTTCCATTTTATTTTATTCGTTTATTTTGCATCATGACTGCAGTTTCCCCTCCCTCATCTCCTCCAATTCCACCCTCCATTACCCCCCCACCCTTGTCAATCCGCTCCTCCTCTGTCTCTGTTCAGAAAAGGACAGGCCTCCCATGGGCATCAGCAAAGCATGGCGTATCAAGTTGAGGCAGGACTAAGTACCTCCCTTGTGTTTAGTCTTGGCAGGGTGACCCAGTATGAGGAATAGTATCTCAAGAGCAGGCCAAAGCATTAGGGACAGCTCCTGCTCCCATTGTTAGAAGTTACACAAGTAGACCAAGATACTCAACTCTCACATATATGTAGAGGGCCTGGGTTGGTCCCCTGTAGGTTACCTGGTTGTTGGTTCAGTCTCTGTGAGCACCTATGAGCCAGGTCAGTTGATTCTGTGAGTTTTCTTGTGATGTCCTTGGCCCCTCTGGCTCCTACAATTCTTCTTCCCTCTCTTTAGCAAGATTCCTGGAGCTTGGCCTAATGTTTGGCTGTGGGTCTCTGCGTCTGTTTTCATCAGTCACTGGAGGAAGGCTCTCTGGTGACAACTGGAGTAGTCACTAACCTGATCACAGGAGAAAGCAAGTGCAGGGATACGTATCCACCATGGCTAGGAGTCTTAGCTGGGGTCACCCTTATAGATTCCTTGGAGTTTCCCTTGCATCGGGTTTCTGCCTGACCCCGAGATGCCCCCTCCTTTCCAGTCATCTCTTTCAGTACTCTCCCCCTCCATTCACCCTCCCAACCTGGTCTCCCCCTCCATTCACCCTCCCCCCTCCATTCACCCTCCCAACCTGATCTCCCAGTTCCCATCCCCTCCCACCCCCAGTCCACACACCTCTTCCATTTTCCCTTCCCAGGGAGATCCCTGCATTTACCCCTGGGGCCCTCCTTGCTACCTAGCCTCTCCAGGGCTGTGAATTGTAGCACAGTTAGTTCTTTAATGTACAGCTAATAGCCACTTACGAATGAGTGCATGTCATGTTTGTCTTTATTGGTCTGGGTTATCTCACTCAAGATGATGTTTTTTTTTTTCTAGTTCCATTATATGCCTTCAAATTTCCAGGTGTCCTTGTTTTTCACATTTGAGTAGTTGAGTAATACTCCACTGTGTAAATGTACCACATTTTCTTTACCCATTCATCAGTTGAACATAGTTGAGCAAGTGTCCTTGTGGTATGATTGAGCTTCCTTTGGGTATATGCCCAAGAGTGGTACAGCTGGGTCTTGTGGTAGCTTGATTCCCAGCTTTCTGAGGAACCACCATACTGATTCCCAGAGTGTCTGTACGAGTTTGCACTTCCACCAGCAGTGGAGGAGTGTTCCCCCTGCTCCACATCCTCTCCAGCATGAACAGTCATTAACGCTTTTGATCTCAGCCATTCTGACAGGTGTAAGATGGTATCGCAGAGTCCTTTTGATTTGCATTCCCCTGATGACCAAGGATGTTGAACATCTCCTTAAGTGTTTCTCGGCTATTTGAGATTCTTCTGCTGAAAGAATTATCTGTTTATATCAGCACCCTATTTTTAATTGGATTATTTGGCTTGTCGATATCTAGTTTCTTGAGTTCTTTATATGGTTTGGAGATAAGTCCTCTGCTGGATGTGGGGTTGGTGAAAAAGATCTTTTCCCATTCTATAGGCTACCATTTTGTCCCATTGACGGTGTCCTTTGTCTTACAGCAGGTTTTCAGTTTCAAGAGATCCCATTTATTAATTGTCAGTCTTAGTGCCTGTGTTATTAGTGTTTTGTTCAGGAAGTCGTCTCCTGTGCCAATGCATTTGAGTTCATTTCTCACTTTTTTGTCCATCATGTTCAGTGTGTTTGGATTTATGTTCAAGTCTTTAGTTCACTTGGACTAGGGCAGAATGATAAATCCAGATCCATTCGCATTATTCTATAATCTGACATCCAGTCAAACAAGCACCATTTGTTGAAGATGCTTTCTTTTTTCTATTGCATAACTTTGGCTTCTTTGATGAAAATCAGGTGTGGGTTTGTATCTGGGTGTTGTATTCTATTCCATTGATCCACCTGTCTGTTTTTATGTCAATACCATGTGGTTTTTGTTACTATAGCTCTGTAGTAGAGCTTGAAATCAGGAATGGTGATACCGCCCAACATTCTTTTATTGTACAAGATCGTTTTTGCTGGTGGATGTTCTTATTGATGCATTACTGGATTTGGTTTGCCAGTATTTCTGCATCAAAATTCATGAAGGAAATTGGTCTGTCATTCTCTTCTTTGTTGAGTCTTTGTGTGGTTTGGGTATCAGGGTAACTATGGCCTCATAAAAAGAATTTGGTAATGTTCCTTCTGTTTCTATTCTGTGGAATAATTTGAAGAGTATTGGTATTAGCTCTTCTTTGAAAGTAGAATTCTGTGCCGAAACTATCTGGCTCTAGGCTGATTTTGATGGGAGACTTTTAATGACTGCTTTTATTTCCTCAGGGGTTATAGGTTCATTTAAATCATTTGTTAATCTTGATTTAATTTTTACATATTCTATCTACCAAGAAATTTGTCCATTTATTTTAGATGTTCTATTTTTGAAGTATGACATAATGACTGTCTGGATTTCCTCGGTGCCTGTTTTTATATCCCTTATCCCTTTTTGTTTCTGTTCTGTTAATTTGGATATTCTATCTCTGCCCTTTAGTTAGTTTGCATAAGGGTTTGTCTATATCATTGATTTGTTTTCCCTACGAACCAACTGTTTGTTTCATTGATTCATTTTATTGTTATCTTTGTTTCTGTTTTGCTGATTTCAGTCCTCAGTTAGATTATTTCCTGCTGTCTACTCCTTCCTTAACACAAATTCAAATCTAAATTTATTGAGATTTTCAAGATGCCAACAGCAGTGCATTAGGCCAAACACTGAACCTTTCTGCATATGAATCCCTGTGTGATTACACCTGTTGTGAGACATTTGTACACTGTGTGAACATGTGTTGCTGTGATTGGTGTAATAAAAAGCTGAACAGCCAATAGCTAGGGAGGAGGCATGGGCGGGACTTCTGAGCAGAGAGAGAACTCTGGGAAGAAGAAAGGCGGAGTCACTAGCCAGAAGCAACAGTACGGAGGAGATAAGGTGACAAACCATGTGACAAACCAGAGATTTTAAATATGGGTTAATTTAAGTTAAAAGATCTAGTTAGGAACATGCCTAAGCTAAGGGCAAACATTCATAATTAATAATAAGTCTCCGTGTCATTATTTGTGAGCTGGTGATCCAGACTAAAATGTACTGCTGCATACACTGGCTAAAAAATAAACAAATAAAAATTAAAACCCGTGGCAGGGGTAAGCAAGTGCTTCCTCACTGGATCCAAGTCTCACTCCAAGGGAGAGAATGAATGCCTGGTACTGTATACCTGTGATTAGGGATGTCAAACCCTGTGGGGGAATCTACTACTGATGTTTTGCTAAGTGAGCATGCAGTTAAACCTTCTGCAGATAACGTGTTTGTACTCAGACTGGTATAGTTCTAGCCTTAGAGGAGCCTCTCTGGGGTGTGGGCAGCCATCAAAGTAGAGATGTAACTGCTCAAAGTGCTGAGAATCAGGGGCTGCTGAGTGCTCAGCCCTACGTGAACCTTCCTCATCCTCCACTCGTGGCCCAGGGAACACTGCGACAGGGGGATGGGAAGAGCGTTAACATGTGGGGAAGAATGCTATGAAATGCTATGATCTGGATATGTCATGAACATTGCAAGAATGAGCACCTAATCAACAGAAAAGAAAGTTAATTTTTTATTTTATACGCGTGGGATTTGCCTGCATGTATGTCCGTGTACCGCTTATGTTCCTGATGTTTACAGAGTCCAGAAGAGGGCACTAAATACCCTGGACTTAGGGTTACAGACAGTTGTGTACTATCACGTGGGCACAGATCCTCTGAGGCCTCTCTTCAGCTCCTATTTTATTTTATTTTTAATTAAGATATCATTTCCCTATTTCCTCTCCTCTCTCCAACTCATCCTATACCCCTTGCTCATAAATTCATGGGTTTTTCTCTTTCATTATTATTGTTACACATTTACAAATATATTTGTAATAATATATATGAATAAATACATGAATATAAAAAAGTAAGATGGGGTTAGGAGACTAGTTGAAAAGACAAGGGTATCAGCATTGGAAAAAGACAATGAGGGAGTGAATCTGATACATTGCAAAGAAGCACAAAATGATTAAAACTTGAAAGACAAAACAAGAATCCTATATGGCCAGCACCAGGCAATAGAACCCTAGACTTCCAATACACTGGATATTTCCCAAAGTTGAAAAAAAAATTTCAGGTTTAAGCTGTTTAATTTGACAGGTCCCTGTGTTATACTTTATTTCCTGACAAATGAAAACACTTTCTGCTCTTAAAACACATTGTTAGGTTACACATACAAGAGAGACATCTCTATATTCTGTTTACACTCCTGTCGGCTATATTAACTCTGGGTACTCTCTCAATTTTGATAGTCCCCCGGGACCTCTAACTTAAAAATGCCCCAAACTGACATCATATCCCCTGCTATATCAGATATAGACACAAAGCAACTAACATGAATTTATCTTTAAACATATGCCAGATATTTTATATAACTGCTTATTCATCGTCACCGTTTCCCAGAAGGAACGAAAGTATCAAGGTGTTATCTCATTTGCTCAAGGTCACTCTGAGATGACTGTTTTCTGAGATGGGATCTTATTACACAGTCCAAACTAGTCTCAAACTTGCCATGCTCCTGTCTCAAGACTCCTGATGGCCTGGATTCCAGGCATACACTATCACGACCCACTCTGACCTCAATATTAATGAAGCTAAAGCCTTCACACTTAATCATTCAACTTTTCAATGATTTCAAGAGGCTCTGTGTGACAGCAGGTGCTGTGTGAGTGGACAATGTCTTCCTCATTATCCGACATCAAATCTAGTTATCATTAGGTGTCTGCCTAAGAAAATCAGCTTCAAGTAGAAGGAAATAATTTTGGCTCGTGGATTCATGAATAGCTGGTTCCACGGATTTGGGCCAGAGATGAGTAAGACCTTGGAGTCTTCTAAAGCACTGTGGCCACTCATGTCACAGGAGCATGAGTAAATGACAGAGAGTAGATGCTAGGGTCAAGATGTGCACCGCTTCAGAGAATGTGAGGACCTAGTCCTTCCCCTGCGGCACCCAGTTCCAGCTCCTCCCGGCAAAGCCACGAACACATCAGGGCATGGTTAGATCATCCAGCGTCTTCCCCAAAGCCCTCAGCTTGCAGCCAACCCTTCAAGCTATGAGCCTGGAGGGGTCAGGTAGGAAAACTAAATGACCAAACAATAATTCTAGATGTAGGTAAACAGAAGTTCGCCAACACGTCCACCATGATGCCTGTCTTTGAGGAGTGGTGTTGGAGATTTAAAAAACTTTTCTTGACAGATTTCTATATTGCAGCTGTTCTCACGGGGGCGGGGCGAATTTAAAATCTGCTAATCTGAAGCACCGAAGTGGGAGAAAGTAAGAACCCATACTTTTCTTGCAGAGGACCCAAGTTCAGTTCCCACTACCCATAAATCTACCTCTGAACAGGCACCTTACACACACACACACACACACACACACACACACACACACACGCACGCACGCACGCACGCACGCACGCACGCACACACTTTAAACCATTAATTAGGGCTGCTCTGGGTGAGGCTCAGATACTAAAACTTTTTTTTTAAATCCCCCAGATGTTTCTAATGTGCCGTCAAATTCGAGAACCAGTGTGGCTTTGCTTGGTTTTACGTGCACTGGTCATTTTTATAAGGCAGGCAGGAAGAGACAGGGGAAACGGTTCTCCTTTTGTTAATCCATGTACGGTGCGCACCGTGAGTCTGCATAGGTTGCTTCAAACAAACTGAAGCTGGGGCTCAGCGCACACCCAAATGGAAAGACTGGGGTGGCCTGAGTGACCGCGGACGTCCATGCCAGGGAAACCTGGCTTTGTTCATGGTCTCCAGCCATGTGCCTTTGAGCAACTAGCTAAACTCACCTCACCAGTTCCTCCTCCAGGAAATGCGGGCACCACGGACATCTGCCTGCAAAGAGTTGTGAATGCATTAAGATGTTTTAAGTCCTTGGTCGTAATATAAATGGAGGGGAGACCAGGAGAAGAAACAAGAGCATTGAAAGATCAAACAAGGCCCTTCGAGTAACGGATGCCATCGTAGTGGATGGAGGACACCTACAGACGGTCTTGTTGACCTCAGGGAGCTCACACGTGCGATGGAGTGATGAGTTGAAATACCTGGCATGCTGTGGTAAGTGGTGTGAGCCAGCCGGGTGTGCCAGGGGACAGGCACAACATTACACAGAGCGGGTCCAACTGGGGAAATGTTGTGACGAGCTCTGTCCTCTAGGGGGAGCTCAAGGCTTTCTCAACTCTGACATCTTGAAGGAATTTCTATTTCCAGTGTGAAAAGTCTAAGTCTTAGGCAGAACTGGCTTAGCACTCTGGGTCTCCTGGTCTTGGGAAATCTCCTCTTTCGGATGTTTGCTTTTGAATTGCCCTCCGCTCTCTTCCCAAGCAGCTGGCACCTGCAGCCGGCACATGTAACTGGTACATGCAGCTGGCACACATTGCTGATACCCTGGTTCTCTCCTCTTCTTGAAAAAGTTGCTCTTGGCTTAGAAAAAGTAAGAATCAGAGTGCAGCCCGCATTTAGGAAATTATTTGAGCCTAGAATAGATGGTTAGGAGCCAGGGGGTTTTGTTTGTTTTTGTAACTTGTTTTTGTTGTTGTTGTTTGGGTGGTTTTGTTTTGTTTGTCTTTCATATTCTAAGTGACAATGTTTGCCAAGGTTCTGAAAGGAGGTGGCAGGATGGAGTTCAGTAGCTTGAGGCCGAAACATGTCCAACACTCCATAGCCAACAAATAGTTCTAGATCTTACTTTCATTGTTTCACGGCTATGTGCTCTGAATTTGACATTTCAAAACTTTCTTGAGTCTTAGAAAACAATGCATTAGAAATATTCTAAAATTTCTCTTATTTACCAAAGCACTATATTTCATTGGAAGACATTTCTCTGGTTTCTTTTTATATAAAATTTTATTTGAATTAGAAACAATCTTATTTTACATATCAATCCCAGTTCCCTCTCCCTCCCACCCTCCTGTGTCCCCCACTGACCCCCCATCCCATTTCCCAGGGAGGGTGAGGCCTTCCATGGGGGATCTTCAAAGTCTATCTCATCATGTGGGGCAGGACCCAGCCACCCCACCCCACCCCACCCTACCCCACCCCACCAAGTATCTGGGCTGACAAAGTGCCCCTCCATGTGGAATGAGCTCTCAGAGTCCATTCTTACACTGGGATAAATAGTGTTCCACTGCCAGAGGCCCCAAAGAATACCCAGGCCTCGTCCGTATCTGACACCCACGTTCAGGGGGCCTGATTTGGTCCTATGCTGGTTCCCCAGCTGTCATGCTGGGCCCATGAGTCCCCACTTGGCTCAGGTCAGCTGCTTCTGTGGGTTTCCCCATCACGGTCTTGACCCCTTTGCTCATCACTCCTCCCTCTCTCCAGCTGGATTCCCCAAGTTCTGCTCAATGCTTAGCTCTGATTTCCTAATTAAGCCTCATTTCCATCTCTTGTATCCTTTCATCATATTTGTAGACTTCTGCATTGCACAGCCCAGGGTAGAAGGGGTCCAAGGGTTGTTTCTGGCTGCCTTGCTAGAAGCAGAGTTTATAGACCCTCAAAAAGGATACATGCCATAATTTTTATTTAAACATAGTTTTTCCTTGCCAATTTATGAATCAAATTGTCTAGGGAAGGTGTGAAGGAAGCCACACACAAAGGCACTGATGATAAACTTAGTGAGAAGATTTATGCATTTTCCAGCAACCTAAAGCTCTTACTAGAGGTGTAAATTTTCCGGCAGGTTTTCCCAAGTCTAGTCAGTAGCATCTCACCTTTGACTGCTCCTTTCTAGTTTAAATTCTTCTTTGTGTGCCTTAATATTCCTAATCAACTTTAGTAGATCCTTTATAATATCAATTTACAATCCCACCTCTTTCTTTATTAAAAGCAATGCTGAGGATCTAAAGGCTCCTGCAAGGACACCACTCACTCAAGAACAGGTTTGCACTGTTGTTTCTTGGGAAGTGTTTGAGACTAGCTGAGAGCATCATCTGGGACCCTGGAACTTATGAAACTGATCCTTCCTCCTCCTTCCCTTAATGCTAGAAAATGGAGTATGCTAAAACACACTTTTGAACTTTTTTCTTTTTATGTTTTAATTTCATTTTACATTTCATCTATGGTTCTCCCTCCCACCCCAACTCCTCCAGCTTCCCTCACCCCCCCCCCCCAGTCTACTCCTCCTCATAGGTAAGGGCTCCCATGAGGACTCAACATAGTCTGGCTCATTAGGTTAGGGCAGGGCCAGACCCCTTTTCTATGCATTAAGACTGAGAATGGGCTCCAGCAAGCTAGTTCATGTACTGGGATTATATTAAGGTCCTACTGCCACTGAGCCTGGCATTCCACACTAAGGAATGGGATCCAACAAGCCACCTCGTGTACCATATTTGTATCATGGTCCTACTGCCAGCAGCCCCTCTGACAGCCCAAGCTTCACAACTGACTTCCACATACAGAGGGCCAAGTTTGGTCCCCTGGAGTCTCTACAGTCGTAGGTCTAGAGCTCACAAGTTTCCAGGAGCTTGGTTCAGCAGCCTCCACAGATTTCTCCATCACGATCTCACCTCCCTTGCTCATATATCCCCCCCCTTCATCTCTTCGACTGGATAAGGAAAATATGGTACAATTGCACAATGGAATATTACTCAGTGGCAAATTTGCAGGCAAACGGATGGAACTAAGGAAGAATAAAAAACACATCCTGAGTGAAGTAACCCAGACTCAGAAAGACAAACACAGTATCTATTTACTCATAAGCATATGTTAGATATAAAGCAAAGGATAACCATACTACATACAGTCCACAGCTCCAAAGAAGCTAGGTAACAAGGAGACCCCTAAGAGGGACACAGGGATGAGAAGGGGAATTAGATGAGATCTACAGGGTAACCTGGGCATGGGGGGTGGTGAGGGGGAAGGGATGGGGATGAGAACGGAAGGGAATGAGATGGCTGAGGCAGGGAAGGGTGTGCAGGAAGAGCAATGGAAGAGATATCTTAATAGACAGAGCCATTATAGGCGTAGGGAGAAACCTGATGTTGGGATAACTCCCACAACTTCACAAGGATGACCCCAGCTAAGACTCCTAGCAATAGTAGAGAGGATGCCCTAACTGGCCTATCTCTATAATCAGATTGATGAATACCCTAACTGTCATCATAGAGCCCTCATTCGGTAATTGATGTAACCAGACGCAGAGACCCACAACCAAGAACCAGGCCAAGCTCCGGAAATGCAGAATGTATTTGTTAGTCAGAATGTATCTTTCGATTGATATATTTTTAACACATTTCCTTTTCTTTTGTCCCCATCTAAAGCTGTCAACGAGAGCCAGGAACATGGTAAGGCTCTTTATAATTGAAAGTGATTTCAAAGCCTTGTGGTGGTGGCACATGCCTTTAATTCTAATACTTGGGAGGCAAAGCCAGGCAGATCTCTACGTTCAAGTCAGCTTGGTTTACAGAATGAGTTCCAGGACAGCCAGGGCTACACAGAGAGACTCTGTCTCAAAAAACCCAAACAAAACAAAGCAAAACAATACAAAAGAAAAAAAGGAGGCAAATTCAATTAAGTAATCATATATGGACAAAATTAATTAATGAAATCTTACAGTCATAAAATGCAGTAGCTAGTGTGTATCACAGATTAGCTACTCTGCTGGGTTTTAAAGCCATTCCTCTTTTTTTCCCCTAAAATCTGTCCTTCTATGAAAAAGAAATCTCTGGAGAAGCTATGAGCCAACCAACAGATAATCACTGCATCTCCTCTTAGCTGACTTCAACTCTGGAGGCTTCCAGAGGTGATTTGAAATTTAAAGGAAGGTGCACTATCAGGCTTTCCATTTTTGTGGATTCAAAAACTCACTGCATTGAAGCTCTTACAGACATCAGGATTGAAAAATAGTGTAAGCAGTGCTGATTTAGGAAGCATTTTCATACTCCCTAGATGCCAGCAGTGACTTTAAAGTAGATATCAATGGGGTCCAAAATCTGCTTGCTGCATTCCCCACGGAAGACCTTTGGCAACTGGCCTCTGGCAGTCATGCAAGGCTAGGTGTTTAGTTCTGGCCATTTACAGTCTGAAACGAAGATCTGATTGTCTGTCTTTTAGCCCTAATCAATTGACTATGAAGTCTTTATGTTCCTGATAAGACAGTGGGAACATGGCAGAAGGAACATCCCTCAGCCTACTGGCTGGCACAAGGGAAATGCCTGCTGTAAAGTCTCCCAGATCTGTATTAGATTTTTGGTGGCAGTTAGAAACAAGCTTTGCTCCGGCACCACTGAGCTGTTGGCATCTGGCCACAGCACACCATAATTTCTGTTGGCCCAGAGAGCTGGTAGCCGAGGAGGAACCAAAAGGATAGTTGCCTTGATGTATGCATGAGATGTGACAACTGTCAGGAGAAGCCAGGCAGGAGCCCTGCAGGATTGCTCCACGTGCAGAGTGGAGCCAGAGCAAGGTGCAGACCTAGCAGAAGCCAAGCTTTTGTAGAAGCCCCACAGCTGTGCATTCTTGGCATATTTGAACTACAGACATGCTTCGTTGAGAAAGACAAAGAGGAAGTGTATAAGCACTTCACTAGATAGAAGTCTACATATGCAGCTTGCCTTGCCAATGGGTTTAGTAGCAATTCTTTCCCCTAGTTGGGGTAGAACTAGAAAAAGATGGTCCTGTCTCTGTAAATAATACGCTACCAGGGAAATCTTGATTTTGTGTATTTTGCCCTCAGGAGCATTAGAATTGAAGTTGAATTTTATAGAACACACACACACACACACACACACACACACACACACTTCAACTGCACATTATCTATCTGAACGTTTTTTGTTGCCTTTTGTTGTCTGAACAATGGAAAAGTACTACAGTCCACCCAGAGAATACAAATTCAATAGAATCTAATTTACCTTACACAGTCTCCTCCTTTAGAAGGATTTATTTAATTGGTAACATAATTTGATGGAGAGGCATTTTAATTGAAATTGATAATTGTTTTTATATTCACTATAATGCTCTGTGTGTTACAGCAAGCACCGCATGATATAAAGTTAGGTCATTTTAAGCTATATGAACCACTTAGGTGTCTCTATACGGAATATCACAAAATATGCTGATAACTTGTTATTAAAAGGAATAATTTTCAGGTTGTAAAACCCTTTGGAGTCATGTCAATAATAACTGGAATTTAATAAATTACTCCTACAGTGGTGATGATGTTTGCATGCTGTTGTATAGAAATTTGCTTGGAATTGAAACATTCCACACAGGAGGGGAAGACTCTTGAGAAACGGTGGGTAAACAAACTCCACATATCTGGGGAAGATGAAACTTACAAACTTTGTGACAGTTCCTTCCCAGCTTTCTGGAAGCAGTAAACAGCCGCTGGCAGAGGAGACTCCAGTCAGCCAAGCACTGAAAGGAGGTCTCTTTCTGCTTGTTGAGTTGCCTGGAGGTCGTAGAGAGAGGCCCAGGGAGGTACCTTTCGTTGCTGGTATTGGGGTGGGCATTTCGGTGGCTTTTTGAGTCATCCTTGCTCCTGTAACTCTTCACCTATACTCCTGTAAGCAGCTCTGATAAAAACTAATATAAAAACTAATTGGCTAATGAAGATAGGCTTTAGTCTTCCTGGGGTGAGTAGGTGTTGTGTGTTGTCCCCCAAGGAAAAGTTCTCATGGCAAACCCCAAGAGCACCAGAGACAATGGGCCGACATGGATGGATACTGAGATAAAATGGTAGAACAAAGGTTGTTTAATGGGTGGGGAAATTCCCTCAGAGTAAACGTACATTTTATACATTCCCACAAATGAACATACTAGGGGTAGAAATTGCTTACTTTGGGGCTATCACAGAAACCAGGTATGACTGAGGGACAGAGAATATGAGTGGCTACAGCCATGTTTCAGGTTAAGAATCTACCCCTGGGTGGGATACAACCAGGCCCACAGGTGTAGCCATTCCCCCTTGGCCTCAAACTAAATCAAACAGCTTGAGCTGATCCCACCAAGAACTCAAATAGGGAAAGGTCTCATAGAGCTAACTCAGGATGAGAAAGCCAGACAGTGGGTAGAAAATATGAAATCTTTTAGTGCTATGTTAGCTTTGTTTTTTAAATGTGAATTTGTGTGTTGCCTCCATGTATGTCTATGTGTGGGTATCAGATCTTGGAGTTACAGATGACTGTGAGCTGTCATGGGGGTACTGGGAATTGAAACCTGGCCCTCAGTGCTCTTAGCACCTAAGCATCTCTCCAGCACCCAGACCCGCTCTATTAGCCTTTACTATAGATTTTAGTGTTCTCTTAGTTGTTAGATCCCAAGACCAATTCACTTATAATGTCAACTGTGGACCTTCAGAGCAGTCCTACCAAGATTACCTCTCCACTCTCACTGTTTGCCGTGGCGTAGTGACTAGGGATTCAGAGCCTTGGATGCTTATCCTGCTTGACCTCTTTAACGATTTCATTACAGAAACAATATAAAACTAACCCCTGAGTGTTTCACAGATTGAGAGAAGCATCTCAAAATAGACAGGGCACTGTGACGCTTGCTTTTAGCTTGCCACAAATTAGAGTCATCAGGGTAGGGAGCCTTACCTGAAGAATTGCCCAGATTCCCTGAGTTGGTGTGGGGAGACCAGCCCCAAGTGAGTGTGAAGTGTGTGTGTGTGTGTGTGTGTGTGTGTGTGTGTGAGCATCTTATAGTAGCATCCCCGATAAAACAGGGCTTGACAAGGAAGATCCTTCACCTGCTTCGCCCTTCCCTCCCACTGCCTGGGGGATCTATCCTGATGTTACGAACTTCACTGATACCAGAACCAGCACTCTCAGGCTTCCTAAGTACCAGCAGCTCTCCAGAAACATCTCAGGTTTTTAAGGTCCCCGCATGAGGACTGCCGAGGCACCCATCGTAGTGGACTGCTGGTTGCCGGCCTCTCCAGTGTGAGACGACAAACGTGGGACTTCTCTGAAAGCTGAGGAGTACCCAGGATCAAGGACCAAGTGACTATTCCGTTATCAGCTTCTTAGGTGTGGGACAGCTGTCATTAATGTTTTAACGTAAACTGATTTAATAATCTTTAATGTATATTCAGCTTGTTAGTTCTGTTTCTCTGGAGAAGCCCAGCTAATCCACACACTGAGAGGGATGACAGCAGACCAGTCCACACAAGGTACAAGAACAAAGCACAGCTTTAAATTCCTAGAATAATATGGTCTAGTAAATTATATGAGACCTGGCAGCGCTACTGAGGGAATTCTACCATTGGCCCATGCCTGTAAGTTTAAAAGGGCTGCGGACTCATTTGGGGCTCCTGAGATATCGGTGTATTTTCATGTTACCTTGCCCAAGTTGCCTGTCCCTTATATAACTCTATTTTTTATTTAAATTGAAAACAATCTTATTTTACATATCAATTCCAGTTCCCTTTCCCTCCTGTTTTCCCATTCCTCCCACCAACACCGCACTCCACCCCAGATTCACTCCTCAGGAAGGGTGAAGCCTCCCATGGGGAATCACCAATGTCTGTCACATTATTTGGGGCAGGACCTAGGCCCTCCCCCGTGTGTCTAGACTGGGAGAGTATCCCTCCAGAGGGAATGGGCTCCAAAAAGGCAGTTCATGCACTAGGGATAAATATTGGTTCCACTGCCAGAGCCCCCGTAGACTGCCCAAGCCCCTCAACTGACACCCATGTTCAGCAGGTTCCTCAGCTGTCAATCTGGAGTCCCTGAGCTCCAACTTGTTCTGGTCAGCTGTTTCTGTGGGTTTCCCCAACATGGTCTTTATCTCTTTACTCATCACTCCTCCCTCTCGGCAACTGGATTCCAGGAGTTCAGCTCAGTGTTTAGCTGTGGATCTCTGCTTCTGCTTCCATCAGCTACTGGATGAAGGCTCTAGGATGGCATATGAGGTAGTCATCAATCTCATTATAGGGGAAGGGCATTTAAGGTAGCCTCTCCAATATCGCTTATATTCTTAGTTGGAGTCATCCTTGTGGATTCCTGGGAATTTCCCTAGTGTCAGGTTTCTCATTAATACTAAATGGCTCCCTCTATCAAGGTATCTTTTTCCTTGCTCTCCTTCTCTGTCCTTCCCACAGCTCAACCTGATCCCTCCTGTTCCCCTCTCCTCTCTCTTCCTCTCCTCTTCTCTTTTCTAATTTCTTCCCCCTTCTCCCATGCTCCCAATTTACTCAGGAAATCTTGTAGGGAGTGGTTCATGCATGTCTCTCTTAGGGTCCTCCTTGATTCCTAGATTCTTTGGGGTTGTGGATTGTAGGCTGGTTATCCTTTGCTCTATACTAATATCCACTTATGTGTGAGTACATTCCATGCTTATCTTTCTGTGTCTGATTTACCTCACTCAGGATGGTTTTTTCTAGTTCTGTACATTTGCCTGTGAATTTCAAGATGCCATTGTTTTTTTGTTGTTGTTTTGTTTTTTTAACCACTGAATACTTCTCCATTGAGTCTATATACCACATTTTCTTTATCCATTGTTTGGTTGAGGGATGTCTAGTTTGCTTCCAGGTTTCAGCTATTACAAATAGCGCTGCTATGAGCATAGCTGAACAGATGTCCTTGTGTGCATGCATCCTTTGGGTAAATCCCCAAGAGTGATATTGCTGGGTCTTGAGGTAGATCGATTCCCAATTTTTCTGAGAAGCTACTTTAGGGAAAAGGGACCAGTCAAAGAAATACACCCTGGAGGCGGGTGTTGGTGGCGCACGCCTTTAATCCCAGCACTCGGGAGGCAGAGGCAGGCGGATCTCTGTGAGTTCGAGGCCAGGCTGGACCAACAGCCTCCAAAACAGAGAAACCCTGTCTCGTAAAACCAAAAAAAAAAAAAAAAGAAATACACCCTGGGCAGAGCCAAAGAAACCCACTTTGACTCTGCAACCAGAATCAAAGAAATGCACACTGACCCTGAAATCAGTGCCAAAGGAATACTCTTTGTCCCTGGAAACAGACTCTGTGAAAGAAATGCAACCTGGCCCTAAAATTGGAGCCAAAAGGCTAAAATGTCCAGAGAAAGAAACACACTTTGGCTCTGAAATCTGACCCTAATCCTGTGCAGAAAACTAATCAATTCCTAAGCAGAGGCTCTAGCCAATCTGAGCTCAGCATTGAAATCTGACCAATCCCCACCCTGGAAGCCCTATATAAACCCTGTGTCTGTTCAGCTTATGGCTGTTTGTGCTATCTGGCTGCCCTCTGCACTCTCCTGGATTCTTCCTTCCAATAAACTCCTTTGAGATGAGCTTTGGGTGAAGATCTTCTTTTGCGGTGGAGCAGAGATGACTCCTGGCAGAGCCGAGTTGTTACACTTAGCTCTCCACTCTCCCGGAAGCAGGGCTGAACTGAAGCAACTTCACCCAGGAAACCCTCTCCTGCTGGAATAAAACTGCTACACTGGGCAGACATCCCCAGCTGGAAGACCCTGTCCTGCCGGATACACTGGGGAAGCCTTTCCCTGAGGCAGGGCTATAAGCTTCTAAGCTTACTGCAACCTGTAGTAGTCCTTGGCTCCCGAGCTCCAGGGTACCTTTCCATTTGAGCTGTGTAACACTCAGTATTCTCTGACTCCCGAGTGCCAGAATACCTACCTGTCCCTCCCGATCTGTCTAGACAGTAAGCCCACTTTATTGAAGACACTACATGCTTTGGTTTGGGGACATGGAAAATCAGTGTGGGAGTGAGCTTTCATAGTGTCACAAGGTGATACACAGGCTGCTTGAAGAGAATTGTCACCAACATTCCTGCTTGGCTGTGGCTCCGGCATGCTGACATGCAGAATGCGCCTGCTTGTGCAATAGTGGCAAGCTATCATGAGTATAAGTCACAGCTTTGCAAATGGATTTAAGGCCAGCTCCACTGGAGGGAGTTCTCTGGTATTGTAAGCCTGGGCAAAACCTGCGTCTAGAGAGGTCACAGACCCAGTGGGAGAAGTCACAGTTATTGTTTTGTTAAATGGACACAATATGCCTACCAAACTGCCTTCCAAACATTTATGCTTACACCCAAAAATCACTGTTGCTGTCAGCTGCAGTCAGTCATGGAAGGAAACTCGCTTTTGCAATAAATGTTGTGTCACACAGACTCATAACCACCACTGAAGCTCCCAAGAACCAGGGACTGTTGCTGTGGCGTGGTGGCCCAATGCCTAGCCATATGTTGATATCTAGATCATCCCCTCCAAGGCTCAGAGAGAATTGGGAAAGAGGAAGGTAGAGTGTAAGAGCCAGAACGAGGTGGGGTCCTGTATAGCAGTTTTCCCCAAACTGAAACATTTTCTCTAAGAGAGGAGAGTGAGAGTAGGGTCATGAGGCCCAGGAGATAAACAAAATTCTCTGTGTGGGGAAGCTGAGACTTGCCACATTCAGGAGGGCCACTCTACAGCTTATTGAAGCACTAACCCCCCCCTGGGGAGTTAACTGACCAGCCGAGCTGCTCAGAGGAGATATCCTAGACTTGCAAGCTGGCACAGAGCTCCAGGGATGCAGCTTTCCTGAGCTGTCATCCGTGTTGGGTGGGCTTTTCCATGATGCAGCTGCTTTTGAGTTGTTCCTACTCCAGTAGGCAACTCATGACTTTAGAGTGCTGTTAGTGACGGGGGGAGTGAGTGGGGGTGGACGGAAGACTGAGGACCATGGGGGACGATAAGGATGGGGATGACAATCATTGTTTAACCAACTGCAATCACTTTGGTTTGCTGTGGGTTCTATTTCTGTGTGTGTGTGTGTGTGTGTGTGTGTGTGTGTGTGTGTGTGTGTGTGTGGTGTGTGTGTGTCCATCCTTGGGAAAACACCACACATAATAGATGTCATCCTAGTAACTGAACTGCAGAACCATTGTGGCTCACCACCGTGCAATTTTCTAATATTATCACTCACAACCTACAAAATACTATAGAAAATGAAATGATTCCCAACAAAAGTATCTTTGGAGAAATAACCTGAAAGTCCAAAAGCAAGTGATGAATTCATCAAAAGAGCCAAGGAACAGGTGACATAAATAAGTAGGAAAAGAATAGCTCTACATAGTCAGAGAATAAGGGAAAGAAGACGAAGATCTTGTGTGATGCAGTCTCTCTGTCATACATACACTCTTGTGTGTCCTGCATTCTTACATGGTACATTTTTTCTCTAAACCCCACTACCATGAAATCTAGAGAATCAGAGTAGAGAATGCAAAGGATTGTCCATGCTCTGCAAAAATAATTCATTAACTTGCTAGCACAAGGCTTCCCACTGTAGTTGGAATAAAATCCATCCGTGTCCAGACTTCACAGACCTGATATGATCCGACTCATGTAAACACTGGCTTCATGTCCTGCCATCCTCACATTCTAATGAAGGGTCTTTCTTTCAGGTCCTTGGAAGGTCTACACTAGATGTTCCTCCAAGGCCATTGCGTTGTCTAGAATGTTTTCCCCTTGTCTACTGTCTCCCGATATATTTCATATAAGTTCAATTTCAATCCACCACCTCACTTCCTGGTGAGTCTGTCACATAATATGCTTCCTGCGTGTCTCTTAGTCACTGTCTGAACGTCTCGTTATTTGCTGTTTGTTTTCTGCCTCCATCTTCTCCCACAGAGCATAAACTGCACCCCAGGGAGTCTCCGTGCTTTGTTCGTGGCTTTGGCTTACCTGATACCTGGGAAAGGAGTGAACAAATAAGTCACCCAGAAGAAAGGGGTCCTCCAGGAACTACCTGGAGGAAGGGGTAGATCTGACAAAGAAAAATAGGACTAAGGAAGAAAATTAGGAAGAGGAATAAAAAACAGCAAAGGAGCTGGGTGTGGGAAGAGGTATGGCGGATACCTTTGTGTGGCTTTTATCTACACTCTTTATGGAGGGAAACGCACAAGGAGGCTCTTTGTGGAGGAAAACGCACAAGGAGGCTCTTTTGCACACAGCTGATCTTCACTGTGCTGCCACGGTTTTGTCTTTGGTGTACTGAAGGCACCGGTCCCCAAGAGTTCTCTCTTGGGCTGTAGGTGTTGCTCCATCTTCCTAGGGCTTTGATGAGAATCACCTACAAATGCTGTCCCTGGCTGCTCTGCAGTCTGCTTAGGGCTGCCAAGGCAAGCAATGAAAGTGAAGAGAAGGTCACTACACTGTATATAGTTTCTATCAGTGAGAGTAGAGACGGTCCCAACGTATCTTTATCTGTGGGTTCTGGCATTCAATTGCTCATTGCTAAGGTTGCTTGCACAGTCAGCAAGCTGTTGTCCTGACTTTCTGGATGCAGCACAATGTGAGTGCGTGCAAACAGTAATGGGTGGAGGTGCTGTTTGATACATTAGAAAAAAAACCCCATTCATAAAAAGAATGATACAGAACTGGGGAGCTGGCTCAGAGAGGACCCAAGTTTGATTCCAGGACAGTCAGGGCAGTTCACAACCACTGTAACCACAGCGCCAGAGGACCCGCTAGGATCCAAAATGTCTGACCTCCATAGACACGTGTGCGTGCACACACACATTAAAAAATACATTTTAAAACTTCTTAAAAAGAGAATGATAAGCTAAGCATGATGCATGTCTATAATTTCAGCACTTAGGAGGCTGAGGCAGCAGGATTACACTTTTAAGTCCTGGGCAACATGTCAAGACCCTGTATAAAAAATTCAAAAGATTAAAAGCAAAGCAAAACCAGAAGATGACAGAATCCTCTTCGGGAAGCCTCAGCGGAACCAGCACTTTGATTTGAATGGGTGTATCGATGTGGACACACTGGGTGGCTTCTTAAGCCTTACGATGATAGTTTAAACTCTGGAAGACGAGTGAGATTGTTGGAGATGTCCACCCTCCTGACAAGCTGTGTCCCCTCACAGGAGATGAGTGCCTCAGCTCTCTTACAGCCCTCGCTCAGGACTTAAGTGGCCTTCAGCACTGAGGGAAAGCTGTTTGTTAGCTGCCTTTTCCACTTGGCAGGGTCTGAACTTGTTCACCTGGAGAGCTAGGGTGATCAAGCCTTACATCCCCCCTCAGTGCCTATGGACAGACATCAAGATAGAAGAACGCCATGGAAATTCAGAAGCAGACACAAAGCGACATCCGAACTGCGCAATAGCTTAAGTCCTATACAACTACCCATCCTCATGAAGAGAGTTACTTGGCTGCTAATTTAATAAGTATTATCCAGGGACATAGAGAAGGGAGTTTCAGACTTTAGTCCTGGAACAAGTTCAATGGGAGTCTCAGTTAATTTCCAGAACAATTGGTTTTTGTTTGATTGGAGGTGGGACAGGATGCTAAGCTGGACTGCCCATCCTTAGTCACCACAATGAAAAGCCAGTCTCTATTTCTAGCAGTGGTTGGGCTCATGTCCCACATCCCCACTAAACAGTACAACAAATACCTTCTCTCAGAAGATACCAGCTTGGCTAGTAGAGGGCTCAGTTGACAAAGGGCTGCCACACAAGAATGAGGATCTGAGGTTCTCCCCCAGCACCCACGGCAAAGCCAGACAGAGCGGCACACACCCAGAACTCCCATGGAGGGGAAGCAGATGTGGTTGTCAGCAGCTCGCTGTCTAGCCAGTCCAGCCAAACTTGTGAGCCTTACGTTCAGTAATAACCCTGTCTCAAAAACTACAGCAGAGAATTGAGGAAGACACCTGATGCCAACCTCTGGCCTACACACAAGTGTGCCTACACGTTACACATGAGCACGTTTCCACACATATAACATACACATGCAATTTAAAACCTTTAAATGTCTAGTTTCTTGGGTTCTTTATGTATTTTGGATACTAGCCCTCTTGTCAGATGTGGAATTGGTGAAAATCTTTCTCATTATGTCCTATTGATAGTGTCCTTTGCCTTACAGGAGCTTTTCTGTTTCGTGAAGTCCCATTTATTAGTTGATGATCTCAGTGCCTTCGCTATTGGTGAAGTTGTTCAGGAAGTTGTCTACAATTGCTCATGCCTGCAAGATGTGCTGAGGTAACAGAGGGGCAGAAATCGGGGTGCAAGCAGCCAGCCAGTGACTAGTCCAGTTTGAGACCCATGCTGCAAGAGGAAGCCAGTCCCTGACCCTGCCTGGAGGGCCAGGACCCAGAAACTGGATAACCCAGAGACCTAGGATAGAACCCAACACGACCAGAAAACAAAAAGTTAATGAAATGATTTCTAATGATACTCTACTATACTTGTAGACCAGAGCCTAGCATAATTGTCATCGGAGAGGGTCCATCCAGCAACTGATGGGGACAGATGCAGAGACCCACAGCCAAATATCAGAATGAGCTCGGAGAATCCTGCAGAAGAGGGGAGCAAAGACTGTAGGAGCCAGAGGGGTCAAGGACACCACACGGAAATCCACAGAATCAGACAATCAGGACTTATGGGGCGAATGGAGACTGAACCAATATTCAGGGAGCCTGGAGTCTGACCCAGGTCCTCTGCATAATTTATGGTTGTGTAGCTCAGTGCTCTTGTAGGACCCTCGATGGTGTGAATGAGGTGCCTCTGACTCTTTTGTCTGCTTTTAGGACCCTTATCTTCCTACTGGGTTGCCTCTTCCAGTCTTAATATGAGGGGAAAATTCCTAGTCTTATTGAAATTTGGTATGCTATGCTTGGTGGCTATCCCTGTGAGGCCTGCCCTTTTCTGAAGGGAGACAGGAGAGGAGTGGATCTAGGGAGAGGGGAGATGGCATGGGGGACTGGGAGGGTAGGAGGGCGGGGAAACTGAGGTCAGGAGGTAATGCACAAAAGAAGAATAAAAAGCCAAAAATAAAAATTAACATTTTAAATGTAAAAATGTCACACACACATGCATGTTCATATGTGTGTGCATGCACCTGTGCACACATACACACTCACAAGCATGCATGCATGCGCCTGCATTCTCTGTTCCATGAACACACAAGCTGTGGGTCTTCAGACTTCACAGCTCATCTTGGTCTTTTGTGCTATAATGCTACCCGTAGAAACACGAAATGGGAGTGGACCTTGTGGCTGCAGAGGTAGGCAGAAGGCTAGGCTTCTAGTATAGAGGTCACTCTTCTGCCATGTCCCCCTGCCAGGAAATCAGACTATGACAGAAACGCTCAACATTATCTCAGTGCTGAACTGAAGTGACTGGGTTTGGGTACTTCGGAAAGCGCTTCCAGTCTTCGCTGTGGCTTAAAGCTCTCACCACCAGCACACTACAGGTGACCGGGGAAGAAGTCATTGTGTCCCAGAAGACCCATATCACTGCCTTGGAGACAAGTGGCACAGCACAACTTTTGCACGTTTATTACATCGGGTTGAGGAAAACCAATAGAATATGTATTTCTACACGGCCCTGCGTATTCAGGCATGCGCTCTAAGCACGCGTCCACTCTCATCTCTGTGAGAAAGGGACCCACCCAAAAGCATTTGACAGCTCACCGTACTCTACCCTTAAAATCCGAACACAAGTCTTAACACCACCGTGCACACGACTTTTTTTGGCAGTCACGAGCTCTGTCGCAAGGCCGAGCTCCTAGACAACGGGAGAAAGTAACGGTCACTGACATCCATCGTCACCACAGACCGCGTGAGGCAGCAGCGTGGCTGTGTGGACGGAGATCCGGACCTGTGGCAGGTTGGGCTCCTGCCGGACGATTCCCAGTCTTGGGTGCATTCTTCTGCGGTCCCAGCGCGATTACACCTAGAGACCTTAAACAATGGAATACCTGCAAGCGACCACGTCTAAAGAAAGAGTTCAGTGTGTGTCTCCAGGAAATAGCCAACCGCAGAAGGGCATTTCTTAACACTCCTAGAGTAAACTGGGATGGAAATTGTACCGGAGGCTGGAGAAGAGCCCAATGTGTTTCACAAGGTTGGGCTCCACCACGTAGGCCCGCTCCCCCTTGGCTCTCAACAGGGAGTACAGCGCCATGTCCTTGCCAAAGCCCTTGTGGCAGTACACCTGGGACAGGTAGGTGAGGGTCCTGCGGGCTGCAGGGGCAGGGAAAAGCATGGCTGGGGTGCAGCACTGGGAGGCAGGAACCACGCTGTACAAGGAGGGACTCAGGCGCCGCAGTTCCAGGAAATAGTGGCGGCCCACCAGCTCCACCAGCCCCATGCTGTACAGACAGAAGAAAAGCATGACAGGCCAGCTGAAGCCTGGGCGGCAGGCAAACTTCATGTATATCCAGGTTAGCACGGGCCCCAGCAGCATGCCCACGCCAACCCACTCTAGGATCCGCATAGGCTCCGGGTTGATGTAGTGCTGTAGCCTCTCTGGGTGATAGAGCTTCAGATACAGGGCATCTTGGAGGTGCGGCTCGGAGAAGCGAGCCCGCAGGAGGTGCTCCAGGACTGGGAAGATCTGCTCTTCTGGGATGGCGTCATCCTCTACCATCAGGACATAGTCTGGGTTGTAGGTCTGCAGCGATGACTCCAGGCAGTAGACGTAGTCTTGCTTCTCCTTCTCAAACGAGTTGGTGGAAGGGTCATCGCCATAATCGTCTTCGGTGCCCTCGTAGCGGTTGGCCACGGGGACGTACTTAGAGAGCAGCTTAGCGTCAATGTGGCTCACGCTCCGCTCCACGTTGCACAGGAAGAGCTGGTGGCCCTCACACTGGGGGCCGCACTGCTGCAGAAGCCGATGGAACTGGGACACTACCTGTAGGACGTAGTGGAAGCCGGGCTGCCTATCCACAGTGATGATGGTGATCACCAGCCAGGGGCGGGGCGTGGCCTGCCACACGATGGGCACCGAGCCATTGGCAGAGGGCAGCTCTTCAAAGTAGTGAAGGGCAGCCTCCCCCTCCTTCAGGCTTTGCTGCAGGAACTCTTGGCTCATCTGGTTAAGATGCCAGTTGCGCAGATAAAAGTATGAGTGCAGGAGCCTGTGGCAGGCCAGGGGCGCCAGTAAGCCGAATGTCACCACAGTTAGAATAAAGAGCTGGACAGCAGTGCTGTTCCAGGAGAGTCGCCGAAGCCTCCGGAGAAGCATGGCAGCTGGAGAGGTTGACATGGTCATGAGGTCAACTTTTGCTCATGTTTGGTCCCAAGAACAAACCATTCTGGATCTCAGGCCAGAATCATTAAGTCAAACCTAAAGAGAGAAAGCAGAATCAGAAAACAAACTTTAAAAAAATAAAAATCCCGACAATGCAGCCCAGCACACATCAGGTCAGAAATTCTTGTTCAAGGTTGTGTAGCTGCTGGAGACTCGGAGGGATTTTCTGCAGTGATGGTTTTTCTTGGGTTGCACTTATCAGTGGGCCTTGATCAGACACACCCTGTGCATTCAACCAACTCTCCAGACCTAAAAATGTGATGTTTGCATCACAATGCATCATAAAATCACTGACAGCTGGTAGAATTATTTCCATTCACTAGCTGCAAAGCATGGGAGTTAACATAGGCACATAAGAAACAAAGCTTGACACAGTCAGGGGAGTTTGCACCATCAATGCATAATACTTGACTGGGTAATTTCCGAAAACCTTTTCTGTATATCCCAACAAAAAGGGAATACTTGGTGGTCCTTGTTATTTAATGCCATCTTTGATTTCTCTAATCTCATTTAATCTAATCATTTAATTCTGATTGTCCCCCTAATTTATTTGTATAGGTCTATATTTGGGAGAAGGCACCTTCCTTATATAAGCAAGCTGTAGACTTTGGATGGGAGGGAAATATCTCACCCAAGTATCTACAATGGGGCTATTTGGTGAGGCGGGTAGGGTAGACAGAGGAAGGGACAGCTTGATCCAGCAAAGAATATCTTGGGACACAATAGCTCCAAGCACAGGTGCGAGGTGTGAACCCCAGATCTGCTATTCAGTTGGTGGGAAATCACCTCACTCTCTCCATATTCTGGATTCCTCTCCTCTCAAATAAAAATAATCACTGTCTCGTGGGTTTACTGTGGATATTAAACATGTTAGAGAGAAAAGGTAAACAAAATGAAAATGTCATTGAAATATGCCTCATGGAGCTGGAGAGATGGCTAAGTCAGTGAAGCACTGGCCATGCATACAGGGGATCTGAGTTTGAACCCTAAAACCAGCCCCTCCCCAAAGCTGCATATGGAAGGACTTCCTTTCAATCCTACCTCCTGGGGGGGTGGGGGGAGAGACCCAGCAGATCCCTGTGCTCACTGGCTAGCCAGATTAGCTTGCTAATCAAACCCCCTGCCAGATCTTAGATTAAAAACAAAGTCAGAGGCTAGAAAGACGGCTTAGTGGGAAAAGTGCCTGCTGTGTAAGCATAAGGACATGAGTTCAAATCCCCAGATCCCACACAAACGCTAGCTGAGGTGGCAAGCATATGCCTATAACGGCAGTATTCCTATAGGGAGGGGGGAGGCACAAACAAAATTCCTTGGGGCCAGCAAGTTTGTGAGACCATGTCAGACAAGGTAGAAGGGAAGGACTGATATTGAAGGTTTGTCTTCTGACTTGTGCAACTCGCCATGGCACATTCATATATATGAACACGTGAACACACCTGAGAAATGCTCTTAGCCTTCACATGAACATACAACACGTCCACATGCATCTGCACAAACTGCATACATATGCACACACACACTGAAAAAAATACAATTGATGCTCATGTTCGAGTAATGTTTGAGAAGCAAGGGATTCTAATGTTCTGATAGAAAAGATCCACACCAAACAGCAAAATTAAAAAACAATGAAGCTAGTACAAAAGCCATAGGCTTAATTAATGCAAGACTGAGTGACAGCTATCACATCAAAAGGATGCTCTTGCTTCAGAAGCAGGACAGTTTGCAGCCACTGAGAAGAAAATGGTCCAGCTAGTGAATGACGGAGGGTTCTCTGTGTCCCATGAGGCTGCAGTTGTGTTGTCTGTCAGCTCTCCCATACATTCCTGGATTTTACTTTCAGCAGTAACACTCAACTTCATTTCCTAGCATGCCTTCTTCGGGGTGGGGTCATATGACTAGGGCTTGCCAGTAAGATGTGAGCTGCATGGAGAGTCTCTATGGATCTACAAGAGGGTCTGCCCCAACAGCTCACCTCTCCCCCACCCCCAACACCTAACTGATTAGTGTTGTGAGCTACATGTAGAGCACTGTGTCATCCAGTAATGATTTGGGGGCTTGTTCTTTAGAGTAGCTATTTTCACCTGCCTTCTAGAGTCATGTAGAACACCAAACATCTCTCTACAGTGTTGTGATACATTTCAAGGAAGTAGAGACAAGTCTGCAACAAAAGACAATGGTCCTGGGAACCCGTGTATGAGTCAAACTATTCTAGTACTGTCAAGAGATCTGGAGAACAGCCAGAGAGAAAGAAACACGGAGGTTTTGGTAGCACAGGACCCTAGGTTTGCTGATTTGTGAGCATCAGTGTACTGCAGACTGGTTCTTTCTCTCTCTGATCTGCTTAAGTCCACAGAGTTAGTACATCATAGACATGTACATCACCTGGTCATATCAGTTCCTCATCACTGCTACTGGACACCAAATATTGGAACTGGGGTGATCCCATGCCTCTAGTGTAGTAGCTCTGGGAATAGGGCCTTTTGGGTGGCTTTGTGTTCCCACTGTTCTCCCTACCTTGGTTATTACTTAAGGGAGCTAGACCATTTAGAGGAAGGGATTACATGCAAATTCAACAAGATAAGGCAATCATCTCAGAAAATGCCGGTTGCACAATAAATGTGCTGTGACTTACAATTTTATGGCAGATAGGACAGAAATGGGAGTGCCCCATGTCAACAAAAAGAGGACTTTAATCCCAAGAGCTTGCTCCACTCTAGGCGATAAAGCCGCAAGCATCTCACAGCCTGTTACTTAAAATATATTGCTAGTAAGCTGCAGTTCCATAGCTGATCAGGGAAGGAGGACGCAATTGGCAGTGCCTAGGATCTCTGCTTGAAGTGATCAGTTCCACTGGGGTGACAAACAGCCACAAACCTTTATGATTTATGATAATAGCCTAGCACTCTTGCACACAGGCCTGTTGGCAGTGGTGGCCCTGCTGGATTCAGGTACAGGAGGTAGGTTAGAAGCAGGCAGCAAATGCGCTTCTCCTTATGGATCAAGGTGAAGAAGAAAGGAATACTAGGGCTGTGCTGTTGGGTCAGGTAGAAGCTATGGCCAAGTCAGCTTTGCATCCTTGCTGATGTGCCACAAACCCACTCATCCCATCCACTGACCGCAGCAATGTGGGGAGGAAGCTCACTCTTCTGCACAGCAGGGGAAGTGGAGAGCTGACAATCAGAGACAAAGAGCCTCAGGCTGATTTCTAGACTGTCAGGAGAAAAGAATGGATCTAGCTGCTCCTGAGAAAGTCCCAAACCCTCACAAGGCATAAGCCTTGCCCCACAACCATGGTGAACCCGAGTCAGAGAAGGCATTCGAAATAATCCCCAAAGTTCAGTGGTTTGAAAGAACCAAGGTGTTTGGATGCTCTTTTTTCATATATGGGTGACAAACGTTTCAGGTATTTATGCCTACAGGTAAGAAGTAGTGAATATATATTTGGGGGGGTTCGAGATAGGGTTTTTCTGTAGCTTTGGAGGCTGTCCTGGAACTCTCTTTGCAGACTAGACTGGCCTGGAACTCACAAGAGATCTACCTGCTCTGCCTCCCTAGTGCTGGGATTAAAGGCATGCCCCACCACCGCCCGGCCTATTTAAATATTTATATATTAAATTATTTGAGTATTTGTTATTTTATTGAATATGCCACAGAAGAAACAAAAGCCACATGACAAGCCCATGTCTACGATATGGCTTTTAAGCTTTATATGTGTAGATTCTAATTCTAGGGTACTCTGAAATTAATTTGAATGTTTTTTAATATGAGATAAGAGAGGGGGGATGAGAAAAAGACAGACACAGAGAGGGGGAAGGGGAGGAGAGAGAGGAGGGGGAGGAGGAGCAGGAAAGAGGGAGAGAGAGACTGCCCTGCTTTTTTCTTTCTGAGCACTAAGATTTAGTTTCTGCTCTTGTCAGTTGCCCACAAGCTCAGTCCCTTGTGCACATTCTAGAATGGACAGGTAAAACTGCCCCTTTTTCGCTGACCTTGTTGGCTTGGTAACAGAGTAGAAAAGAGAAAGCCACAAACTAGCTCTCAGACCTACTGCACCATGCACAGGGCCAAGTTATATAATCTCTCTCCCAATTCAACAGAACATGCACAGAAACAGAAAGAGGCTACTAAAAGCCCGAAGCACAAAGAGGGTATGAAAAGCCTCAAGTCAATCATCAGGGAGAGACAGATCATGCCCTCGAAGAGAAGAAGAAAATATTGTTGAACATTTGAACATTGCAAAGTAGCACACTCCCTGTGGGACCACACCCCTCATTGGATGATTACGTGAGTCGCTTGGCAAAAATCCATGAGTTACCTGGACATTCAAGAGCATGTTCTGGTTGTTTTGGGGGTATGGTGGGTATGGCATCCGCCGACACCCATTACTTATTGCACTCTCTAGATGTAGTTTAACATAAATGACCTGGAGGAACTGCATCACAATACATAGGACGTTTTTCATTCACAGTTTGTCTCCCAATCTATGAATGCAGGCAGAGGGGAACTGTGTTTACATAACTAGAAGCAGATGAAAGGAAGGTTGTGTCTAGATGATTACTCTGGCACTTTTTTCCCCAGAAGTCCATAGTTACCTATAAGATTACCTGCCAAGACCCACACACCATTAACATTGTAGTCTGACAGGTTTTTCTGAGTCAGTTTGGTAATGCCTGCTTCAGTTCCATGGAGGAAAGTAATTGCTTATTTATGTCTTGCAAGTACTCCATGTTAAGGTGCAGCCGTTCCCTAACCTGGCTTCCACCTACTGTCACATAGAAGGCATAGGACTCAGAAAGCAATAAAGGGATAAAAACACAGAGAAAGAAGCATGAATTAGGAATAAGTACATAGAGCGGTAGTAAAAACTGTCTTTCAGTGAATCTTGTAAAAACTAAACGGAAGGAGGCACAGGGATTTGAGAGACAGAACAGCACACTTGTGTCAGGAAGTAAGTACTCTCTTCCTTCCAGGCTCTTTCCAGTTTCAGGGCCTGGGAAATGAACAGAGAGCTCTCAAGAGAAGAAAAAAATTGGCTAGGA